CCTTCAGAAGAGAACAGACAAGAAGGCTCGTATGTTATGGCCTGCCTTGACATCAAGTTCCTCCTAATCATGTATACACCCGATATGTACACGCAGATGTAATTACATGTAAAACCAGATGCACACTATGTCATCAAGTATGTATCTCTCACTTACTAAAATTCAGTGCCGGAATACCGTTTAATATCATCTGAATTTGCCGAAACAAGTTTAATATTCTGAAAGCCAAGACTTTGTTTTTTTTAAATCAGATGAAAACAAACTGTAACGGACCCTGCCGTGTTATCTATGATTACTATACGCCTTACATTCATAATTTCAGCCGGAGGGAGGGGGAGCTGCGCTGCGGAACAGCAGAGTGCGAGTGAGAGCTGTCATCTTCCCTTTACGAGCTTCAAACATGTATTTATCGTGTGATTTTGGAAATACAAGTTTCATATTCTGTAAGCCAAGACTTTGTTTATTTAAAATTAAACAAAACACCCGAACCCCGAAAAACTATTTTTTTACGCAAATCCACGTTTATTTTGAAATGAGCCGTTGCGACTTCCGACTGATTTCAATAGAGCAGGTCACATATGAGGATAAAGTGTGTTATTTTAACATTAAAGCATGTAAACATCTTCTAGTGTATACCCAAAATGAAAATATGAACCTGAAGATTAGCATCATATGTCCCCTTTAAAGTTCAAACTCTTATTGAATTTATTTTTTAAAAGCCTGAAATCTGCTTGTCTAATCAGTTTCCTAGTTATCAATCACATTCTTGAGCCTCAAATTGAATGTTGTTGGATGATTACAGAATGTCTTTTTCTTGATTAAATATTGTGAGTATAATTTGATACAGACATCTTTAAATGACAGGTGTATATACTGTGAAATTGAATAGTTTCTGAGGCGTGATCTCACCAGAGAGCTGGTGTAGGTGGGGTCGGAGGAATTCTCCTGCAGGAAGCGTGACAAGCCGAAGTCAGACACCTTGCACACCAGGTTGCTGTTGATCAGGATGTTGCGGGCAGCCAGGTCCCGGTGGACGTAGCTCATCTCTGCCAGGTACTTCATGCCGGAGGCGATGCCACGCAGCATTCCCACCAGCTGGATGGGAGTGAACTGGCTGTCGTTCAGCTGCAGAGAAGAGGAACAGTTCAGTTGGAGAAGCACTGAAATGGCCGGGTCACAGCTTGGGTTTTTGTTAGAAAAATATCACTCGTCACCGGCTTGAGCTTCAATAATCAGGATACATGTATTTATTATCCTTGCAAGAATGGAAGTAGTCATCACATACAGAGCATGTGGTACAACTAGTTGAACAGTATCCTTCACATGCTCATATACAAGAGAGGGTGTTACACAGTCACAAGATGGAGGAATACCGGTTCAAAGCCGTGCACAATGTTTAGTTTAGATTAGCTAAAACCCAAGTAAGAAATTATCATGATTGTCAAAAGAGGCATGTTCAGCTGGAATTCTTTACCGGTCTATATTATTCAGGAAAATAGTTTTCAAAAGGTTGCAAAAAAATTATCTCAGTATTATAAAGTTAAATTGAACTGTGCCTGTGGGTATGTATTATTATTATGTACAATTATTTATATTTTTTTGTTTGGCGTTATGATGGCTAAAATTGGAACACCATTTTAGTTTTCACTTCATATACAGTAGCACTGTAAATTGCATGAAATTATGAGCTGTTTTGTTTTATGTATGTTTTGTGTGTGTGAGGACCCCAGGAAGAATAGCCAATGCTCATGCTAGTGCAATGTGGATCCTACTAAAGAATAAGAATATGTCTATCTACACTAAAAAGTGTGTCCTGAAGCTCTTCCAGGTAATCATACATCCTGTTACGTACACAGCTACAGTTGGGCCTTTGATATCATGTGCTACTCTGATATTGAAAGAGTGCATTCAGTATTTTCCCAACAGTTTTCTTTACAACACTCACCCGCAGGAAAGAGTCCAGCGCTCCGTTCTCCATGAACTCTGTGAGGATCATGACGGGGCAGCTGGCCGTGATGATGCCCTCCAGGTGGATGATGTTGGGGTGCTGGAACTGACCCATGATGGACGCTTCGGACAGGAAGTCCCGCCTCTGCTTGTCAGTGAAGCCCCCTTTTAGTGTTTTAATGGCTACGTAGTTTTCTTTTTTCCCCGGGACCTTCAGCCGCCCTCGACACACCTCTCCAAACTCTCCTGGAGCGCAGACACATAAACACACATTAGGGCTGATCTCTCTGAGAGGTGTTTACCACATTAGGAGGACAACAATAAGCAAAGCTAAACTCGCCCGGAGGTAGTGGTGCCCTTTGTTTGAATAAGGGCTGGTAGTATGGTCACATATTTCTCGGGTAATTGATTCATTTAGGAGTCCATATTGAATTTTGGCAAATAAAGAAAGTAGCGACAAATGGTTTTAAATGTCACAGAATTAATTTAACTGAGTAAATTCGATATATTCTTCTTAATGATCTCATTTCAAAAGAGGACCGGCTTAAAAAAATTCTGAGTCCGCAGAAAGAGTTCACATGTACAAAGTTTACATATATTCGTGAATAATGGGAGAAGTATAATGCCGGGGCTTACCAGCACCGATAACCTCTTCGATCTTAACAAAGGAAACATCAATCTCCTTGGCAAATTCTCGCACGGCCTCATTAGGGTCCTCGTAGGTGAAGGGGTCGATATAAACCTTGACCCCTGCGAGAGAAAAGACAAACAGAGTCGTGGGAAAGGAAAAGAAGAAATGTGAGAATGCTATGAGCAGCAATCAGCTGCGTCACATTATAAAAACATTTTCCTGACGTGAGTAAATTGTAAATCACATCTGAGCTTTGGTGTGTGTGTGTCCTTACCTTGGCCGATGAGGTACTGGCTGTTTTTGTCGCTCAGCTCTGGGTCCTTTACTCGGCTGTGTCTGCTGCAGGTGGGAAGAGATCGAGATTAACAGAATAATTATTGAGAGATTTGGCAACACAATTGATCTGATGAAAAAACGTCATGTTTTTGCTAGTGATTGATCAGCCCAATGTTATGCATATTAACAATGTGCAATAACAGTAATAGGATGCTTCTGTGAATGAAATATAAAAAGTTTAAAAACTCAAATTAGCCCGATAACAACACAATGGTTGAATACTTTTGTTTGATATTATTATATAAAATTATATTATTATTTGGAGGAGTGTGTGGGAGAGAAACTCCCATTGGAGGGGATTTTTGCCTTTGCAGACCATTTATGCACAAAAAACAATATAACACATTACAAGAAAGATAATACCCTAAAAAGCAAAAAAGGGCTTCTTTAAGATACACTAAGATAACATCGAAACAGAATTTAAAATAAAACACACTGTGCTTATACTACATCATTCTATAATGCACTCAAGCAAAGCAATACTGATACCTCAGCCCCATGCACTGACAGGTCAGAGGTCAGCTCAGCTAGAGAGCAACACCCTGCAGCCAACAGAGATAGTGTCTCTCTGTTCCAAAAACACCTCCTTCATTTTTTAGCGATCCCAAACACACATCACAGGGCCGCTCGTGGTGCTGGTGAATACCTGAGCCGACCTCTATGGTTCCGCTCTCTGACTCGAACCGCTCCATTATAATTCAGCTGGCGAAAACTCATCCCTGTAAGACTGTAACAAGCCTGTAGCTACTGGAGCTCTGCCTTCCTCTCCTGCTCCCACCTCATAAGCCTAAAATAGCAGTAATGCACCACCCTCGGTTAGTGGCAGATCTGGGCCTCTGCCACTGGTGTGTGTGTGTGTGTGTGTGTGTCTGTGTGTCTGTGTGTGTGTGCGTGTCACAAGGTCACGGCTATTGTTCTCCTGTCCTGTGGAAACAGGGTTGGGACGCCTGCATCCTGTCTCCCTGCCCTCTACCTCTATCGTAATTTCTCTCTCTTTTTCTCACACACACACACTAACTCTCTCTCTCACACACTGACACACACTGACACACACACACACACACACACACACACACACTCTCTCTCTCNGTCACAAGGTCACGGCTATTGTTCTCCTGTCCTGTGGAAACAGGGTTGGGACGCCTGCATCCTGTCTCCCTGCCCTCTACCTCTATCGTAATTTCTCTCTCTTTTTCTCACACACACACACTAACTCTCTCTCACACACACACACTAACTCTCTCTCTCACACACTGACACACACACACACACACACACACACACACACACACACACACACACACACACACACACACACACACACACACACACACACACACACACACACACACACACACACACACACACACACACTCTCTCTCTCACACACACACACACACACACACACACACACACACACACACACACACACACACACACACACACACACACACACACACTTTCTCCCTCTCATGGCATCAAGCACTATTTACCCACACAATGAAGCCTAAGGAAAGTGTTCTAATGAGCAGGATAACTTTTAGCTGTGTAAGCGAAAGGCATCAAGATTGTTGCTTTGTGTGTGAACTGCCTCACACACACACAAAGATGGTGAGTGCAATTCCACTGTTGATAAGATATGACTTTATAAACAAAAGAACAAAGTGGTGCTCGACTGTAAAATTGGGGTCACTGTTGTTATTACTTTACAATTTCCCCTTTTTTGCCCGTTTCCTGTTATTCTGTCAGCGTTTTCCCATCACATACATATCTCTTTCTCTGCCTCTTTCCCTTTCCCTCGTTCTCACCGTATGCAGTAGGCGGCCACTAAGACGAAAGTGACAAGCAGCAACATCCCGACAGCGATAAGGATGCCAGGTACTAGGAACTGGGCGGCAGAGTCGTGACCTGAGGGAGTGAAGAGAGAGAGTTAGGGGAGAGTAAGTAAGAAATCTCGACAGGAGGTTTTACATTGGGAGTAGAGAAAAGGACAGAACATGACAGGAATTTATAATATTAAAGATGCAAGGACACTTACTCAACTCAAGGGCACAGCAACACCTGCATTTAACACAAACATGTACAGGGAGCTCTGAAGAATCCTCAAGAAGGAATTGAAAAATGTGTGAATATGCAAACTTACTATCAGGCAGCGTGCGGAAGAAGGCTGCAGGACTGAAGCTGCCGTAACCGCCCATGGTGCGCGCCCGAACCTGAACCTCGTACTGGGTCGCTCTGCGGAGGTCCGTCAGCACCGCCTGGTTCTTGTTGCTCTCTGTGTAGTGGCACTGGTCCTCACTACGTCGCTCCTATCATAGGAAAACAGGGAGAGTTAACAGGACTGAAAGTGAATTAGGGAGGAATTGACGGCCCAGAAACGAAACACAGAAAGACTCGGTCATCTAGAGGAATTCAGATATCCAATCGTTAATTTACTAAAGCATATAAGGGCCAAGTATGAAGAAAAAAATTGGGAGGATGATTTGGGTATACATATTTAGAATAAAACTGAATTTTCAGTAAATGGGAAAGTTTAGTATGTTGATTCATTATTGATTGAATTATTTTTAAATAAGTGGCTTTCATTGACATCATTCTTGAAATGCAAAACAAAAAAAACACCTTTATCCAAATCTTTTTATCCTTCATGCTTTGCCCTAATACTTAATAGTAACCCTTACAATAACGTATATATTATAAGTTTAGCCAAATTGACTTAAACTTAGTTTTGTTTAATCCAACTGCAGTATATTTTAACACAATGTAAATTCTATCTAAAGTGTCTCTTGTCTTGGCTGTACGAGCTTCTGAATCAGGTTCCCCTGTGTTTTGGTCAGAGCAAAAACACAAACACACGTGTGTCACGTAAACACAAATGTGTACTGTATACTGCCTCCACAGTTGTTACATGAAACACTAAAGGGTAAGGTGGAATTGCTGATTTACTGCAATTTATATCAATAAAACTGTCAATTATCTGGGTCATTGTTTGTCTAGACAACATACAAACAATTTGGGTTTCATTACACTTGACCTGCATGTATTAGGGTTTCTGAGGACATCCATATTAGCCCGCTAACCTGTCTACATTTCTTTGCAAAACATGGTGTGTTTTTTTTATATTCTGAGCCGTAGTACACCTGAGGATACAATCATTAAAATGCAGACCATGGAGGGGTATTGTCAGGGCTCACCTTCTCACAGTAGCGGACCTGATACTGCAGGATGGTGTAGTGCAGCTGAGCGGAGACTGACCAGTGCAGAGTCAGGCTGCTCTCTGTGGAGTCACTCTTCCGAATCACAGACACCAGCGACGGCACTGCACAGATGGAAGAAGAAATATAAATACCAGGTGAAATTCCGACTATTTATACCTTTCAGCTTCACCTCCCTTACCGTTGTGGCTGGTGGTGATATTGACACTTCCACTGGCAGGGTCCTTGCCGCTGACATGAGACACCCCGTTGAGAGACTGCACTGTGAAGGAGTACGTGGTTTGAGGCAGCAGGCCCCACACCTCCACCCTGCGACCCAGCAGGCCTTGCTGCTCGGGCCGGTAGCTGACGCTGTCCCCGCAGGGCAGGCAGGGGCCCTTAGTGGACCTGCAGAAGGAGCATCTGATGGCGTAGCTCAGGTCTGTTCTGCCGCCGTTGTCCAGAGGCTCATTCCACTTCAGGCTGAGCGTGGTGTCGTTGATCTGGGAGCGGACGGTGCGCGGAGCTGAGGGAGGTCCTGCAGTGACAAAGAAATGGATAACTGATTTGGAATTTCAGATTTTGTAAATACTGCAAATCAGTCAAATAAGAATCCCTCAAGCTTTTAATCTAGCAAGTCATAAAGGAATACTAAGCCATACATACATATATCCCACTTGCTGTCCAGAGATTTATGAAAAGATTGAAACCACCCAAAAGTCTATACACTAATAAGCTCTAAAGTTAAGACTCAGCATTAAGACCAAAACAATCCATTGTGGTTTTAAGGGGTTTATGTGCGGGACTGGTTCTTCACCAGGTGCAGCGACTGGCTCAGACTCTTCTCTCCAGGAAAGCTGCACTCCAAGCCAAGTAATAGTACCAAAGAAACATTTTTAACAAAAAGCTTGCAGTAGATTGAACAAAGGGGACATCACATGTTGAAGTGTTCCTTATAGATGAAGGTGAATGAATATTTGTTTAGTTTTAGACTTAGCCATGTTCCCTCTTTATGCTAAGCTAAGCTACTTATGACAAGTGTCTGCTGGCTGTAGCTTCCATTATAAAGACATTAGACAGTTTTATTGATCTTGAAAGGTCTTTTCATTTGAGGGATAGCACTAGTAATCATCCACAGAGTATTGCCACATTATTCTGTCAAATAAGTAATTTCATTTCACAATACAGGCATTGCCTAGCTCTGATGCAATCAGTGTGTGAGAAATGTCTCTTTCAAATCAAACTATAATCTCTTCTGTATCATTTTACTGCTGCTTTACTTTCCATGACCCACACAGACCATTTGTTTAATTTTCTTTTCATATGCGCTGAAGACATTTTATTCAGTCAGCCCATGTAGTCACGAAGCAGAACGAGGGTCCTGCAGTGGCTTTGCGTCACAGCACGAGCATATGTGTTGCAGGATTTAACTGGTGCAATTACGTTTGTCTAAAACCGGATGATAATGATCACGTCTGAAAATTCTAAGAAGATAGCTGTTGCCTCAAGCTAAGCATAACTAAACAGCAATACCACTCAGCCACTGGGAATGAGTTTCTGTTCCTGCCAAGGAGACAGAGCTTTGTCACTGAGCCTGCAGCTAACTTAAGTGCTAATAGTGCTCTCATTGGAAACCCAAGTGGGGCAGCTTCATAGACAATCTGGATGAATAAATTCAGAATTCAAGATTTTGGATTGGAGATTTTTTCTATAGTGGTGGTACGTTTTATGATTGAACAATCAGAAATCCACTTTATTCAAGCCACCATGGCAGCCAGTGTTGTAAAACGCTTAATTTCATGGAAAAAGGTTCCTGTGATTTACAGAAGGCAGGGGTGGTTTTCCAATTTCGCAGACAAATTGAAAATAAAAGTGATATGCAGAACTGTGCAGGCAATCCAGTACAATAACATCATATATAATAGGAAAGGCCTAATTAAGTGATTAATAATTAAGATAAAGCCCTTGTAATTAAAGTAATCAGTAATCATACAATTGGACGTAAATTGTAGTTCCAGGCTGTCACACCTGCAGAGGACAGGAAATGCCATCATCCCGCCCAAGCTTCACATTGTTTCACATCCACTTTGTGGCCAGTGCACCTCATTAAGAGGTCCCTCCCATTCACACATCCAACATGTGGATGAATTGAAATTCCTGAATCTGCATGGAGGTGTCACTTGAGCCCATCAAGGCCTACTCCACTTTGGAGTGGACGCCCTCCCCCCAACCACCTGTCACCAAAGTCATGCATCTCAATGGCCAGCAGTGGGACAAAGGACACAAAGCAGATTAGGGGAGTTTGGCTAAATGACACCAAGGCAAAAGAGAATTAGCTCCAAAGATGGGAAAGGCAAAGCCAATCACAGTTTTTGTAACTTTTCTGTATAATACTTACTTGTGCACAGTGTGTCAGGAGTGTCAGACTCTGCACGCAAGTATCCAGATAGACACGCACACACTGAGGCCCCTGCAATGGTGGTTTGGCTGAATCCTGGACAGCCTTTGCACTGTCCCTCTGCGGAGGACTTGAACTGAGCTGGAGGACAGGCTGGGGAGGACAGGAGAAGACAAATCAATATGATTCAGCAGGAGATAACAACACTGGCCCCAATCTTTAAAACCTGCTGTGTCCCTGGGGGTCAGATTGAATTTTCTTTTGGCGTCATTGTACGTAGATGCCAGATGGCTACCCATTGACAGACAGAACCATGTAATGAGGCTATAAACTGAAGACAATCACAGTAATGAAGCTGAGAGCGATGGTCAATTTAGTTTATAAACCTGACTGATATTGACCTGATGCTTTACCCGACTATATCTGAGTAAGAAGGCATAACGCTGGTGTCCTTACAAAGAACTGTCTCTCTTATTATACTCTCTCTCTGTGCTCTTCTAAAACCAATAACTGCACTGTGGAATTCACGGCTTCAAATGACTTGTGATGAAAGGATATATTGATTCATCGATGACTTGACTGACAGATAATCTATTTACAACAATTTTCCCAATTGATTGGAAAATGTTTAACACTTTCTCTGGTTTTGGCTTCTCAAGGATTTACTGCTTTTCTGTTTTGTATCACTGTGAATGTATATATTTGCCCTGATCTGAACCCGTTTTATGTTGATCCGTCACCTCGTAACGCCACATTCAGCCATGCAAGTGTTTACGATGAGTGTTCAGTGCGGCTGTTTGAATGCAGCTCCAGCTGAGTCAGATAAATAAAACAATCATTTCTCACACAAAGTGGATCCTTCTTAAAAGGATCAAGACACTCTTTCTGATCCTTGTCAAGTCAAACTTTGCCTGCGGGAATTTCCATGATGTGAAAAGTGCGCTGAATGCTGATGCATGTCTCACCTGTTGAAGGTTGTTTAAATATATTATTTATAGATCAAATGCAAGTGACTGTCACTGAACAGTATTATGAAACACAACTTTTGGAGCACTTATTTCCCAACAAAAGGACACTCACAGCCTGTTTCTATTGTTCACTAAACAGTGTTTTTCAATGACTTCAGCTGTAAAACGGTTTAGCACTTCACAGTTCACGCCAATACGAGTGATTATTTTGTCTGAGTAAAAACCACTTTATCGAAATACTATTCTTTTCACTTTGGATATGAAGATTATTCTTGTCACCATTTGTATAAATATAACCTTAGTAAAGCTCAGGTTTACTGGCACTTTGATATCTCTCTCAATGTAACAATATGTAAAGCCTGATTGAGCTTCACTTCCACAAATTGTTTTAATATTCTTATCAAGCTCCTGTATAACACTATATCAACTTGACAGCATTCATACGTTTTATGATAAAAGGTTGTGTACGACTCAAAATTATATATACAACATTTATAGTACAGTATAAGTATTCAGATTTTAAATTTAGATTTCAATTTCACCTTTTAACTGGCTGGCCTATGAAGCAAATTACCTTTTCAATCTTGCTATAAAAGGCAATTTCTCATTATGATGAGTGTTTCTTTCCTCACAGCTCTCTGCAGTAACACAACGCTGGAAATGCCAAACCCACTTCACTAGAAGCAAAATGTCGGAAATGATTTTTTTTGTGATGAAAAATCATTATACCTCCCACAGAGATCAAACTGAATCCTACCTTCAAACCACACACAGATGCAACGACACACTTACTGTTGAAAAATAACCATTTCTTCTTGTGTTTCTGTGTCCTTAGAGCTCAACATGTATCTGTGTTGGTGTGAGGCAGAGTAATTGTGTGTGTGTGCAAAGGAAGGGGTTCATACACAAGGCTTGTTAATTGGACTCATTAGACAGAGCTGCTGCACGGCTCCCGAGAGAAACACCCTGCTTCTTCTTCTTTTTTGTCTGCTTTGCTTTGATGTTCTCAAAGTGATATGATCTTCACCCCGAGTGTTCCCCCCCCCCCTGCTCTCGTTCCCCTCACCTCTCCTCTCCCCCTGTGCTCCTTCTAAGTTCTGAAGCTGTGGCAGCAGTAAGCCTTTGACCCTGCTCCTCCTCTCAGAGATAAGTGCTGCTCCGCCTGACCTCTCTCTGTCCACTCCGTGTTACTGCCGCTCCGCTGCCTCATTAGTTTCCTCTCAACGTTTCTCTCCTGGGTGAACCCCACCCTCATCTTACCATTGTTTGTTCTTGTTTAGTCTGCCTGCTCTGCTGCCTGCGCGGGTGTAGTCTATAAACAAACTAGTACAAGCGTCTTAACCTTGCCTCCTTCTTACCTGTGCATCTGGTTTGTCCTTCGAAGGGCTCATATCCTGGCATGCAGGCACAGGAAGTTGTCGGCTGGCCCACCCAGTGACCGTCTTCCCCGCAGAAGAGCTTCGGGGGCCGAGGTCGAGGCCCCTGCTGTGCGGAGTGCTCCACACACACACCCTGGGCCTCCTGCACCAGGGTGCGGGGGACGGTCTCTGGGAAGGAGGAAAGAGCACTGACCAGGGGGGGACACTTCTTGAAGAAGACCCTGACGGACAGCAGGGCCATGCAGGCGCCCTGAGCCTGGAAGGCCAAGTAGAAACCTCTCTTGGACAGAGGGCCGAGCCTTAAGGTCTTCACATTGAATTTCCTCTCCCCGCCCTTCCTCCGTAGAAAGTCTGCAGCCACTGTGTCCACCTAGGACGGGAAGAGAGAGAAAAGATTTGATGTGATGGCCCGATTCCAGCTCTGGATTCAGTCTTAAGAGGGACCAGACTGGCGGTTTTGCATGTTTTATACATTTTAGCCCATTAACCAAGCATCACATATGCTTTACATTATTCAACCTTTTCCAAAGCATACCACTGTGATTTCAGATTTATTTCCTACCTTCCTGGCAGCCATTGTTTCCCATTTGTTACAGTACACTTTGAACCTCGACTTTAAACTCGCTTGGGAGAAAGGTCATTTATCACAATGAACATTTCATCACTTTTATTTCTCTGTCAAAGTTACATTATTTAGTAATGAAGTCGAGCAGAAGGCACTATTCTGAAACCCTCTCTTTGGCGGTGTGTTCAAGGACGCTGCAACATCTGAGGTTTGACAACGAGCTGCCGAAATGCACTTCAATCATAAGCTGTGCGTTTGGAAAATGAAAGCCAGGAGATGAACTCTGAGCAAACATGCAGGTTGAGAAACAGATTGAATGCAGCTACGAGGAGAGTTTACAAAAACAGTACTTGATCGCATGAGACGATAACATAACTTGGACAGAATATAAAAGTGATTAACAGTCGACTGTAATAAATACATAAAGCAACCTTTATGTCCCTGCAAGAGGATGACTGTAAATATATAATTGAGTGCCGACTGCAAAATAGAGGTCAGTCTGAAAACTTCAACTTGAGCTCACTCCTATACATGTTATGCAGTGGTTTACTGGATAGTGTGGAGGTAGGCTTTTGTCAGAAGTCAGTAAAACTAAAGTCCACATACTTCAGTCATACATGGAGTACAAACCCGTTTAAAAAAGTAAAATAAATATAAAAATCAACCAGTTTTATTCCCTAGCCTTGCAAGGTACCATTGGTGTATGAATGTTTTTGAAGGGTATATCAGGGGAAATTGTAAAGTGCAATTGACTATTACCATGAAATAACTTGTTTCCATTGCGCCCTCCTTGCAAAGTTAACACCTATATCACTAGTTTTTTGAAGATACGCTTTTTGTTGAGAATTTTACAATTAAAAGCTTAATCCAAGACGTATTATGTCATCCAGGTTCTTACAATTAATTATTCATTAAAGCTGATACGTTTCCAAGCTGAAAACCAGGTTATGGTTCCAGCTTTTTCAATTGTGAGGATTTGCTTTTTTAATTTTGTTTTAATACAATGAACATCAGGATGCACCCAAAATAATATTTTACGTTCTTGTCTGTAAGGTTGTTAAAAAAGCAAATTAAAGGCATTACTGAAGGCGCAAATGAATAGCCAATGCCTTTTCTTCTAAACCAAACTCGAGTTCTCTTAATTGAGAAAATAAACAGCATTCGTCTTTGAAATTAATTGTTGGTTACGACCCATTCGTTTATTATGATCTGCGGCTTTAAAAACTCTAAACAATTGAACTGATTTTCATGTGTAAAATAGGTGGGAGTAGTTTTCAGTAAATAACAACCACAGAGAGAAAAGAAGTGCTTTAATACTGACAGGATATCCCGTAACAAAGAGTATTTATGTACTCTTTGTTAGGGGATTGAAGTGACCCATAAAGAGTGGGGGGGGGGCGTACCTTGGTGTATGGGTTCTCCATCCAGGGCGGGTAGGAGGACGTCGCCTCGTCGGAGTCGGCCTGGTAGTAGAAGAGGTTGAACGTCTCCTTACAGCTGCGGTGGTGGATGCTCCTGGAGGAACACTCCATCACGGTGAAGCGCAGCTCCACGTAGACCTGAGACGCTCCTCTCCGCTGGATGAAGCCGCTGCGCAGCCAATGGCTGGAGGCGCTGTCAGTCTGACAGATCTGATAGGTCCTCACGCTGTTGTTCTCCTCATCCAAACCACTTACTTCCTCCCACTGAGGGCAGAGAACAAAGCGTTGTCAAAGGTTGTGAAAATGACATCTGACCCAGAAAACTTTTTTCAAATTCACCTGTAAAGGCTTCCGCTAAGGTCTTTAAAAAAGGGATCCCTTTAAAAGTCCTATTCATCATAATAGTGTTGAGATTTGTTGTTGGCCCTCTGCTGCACTGCACCTGTCAGAGGCCCTGGGGACACATCCGGCCTGCTGTGGATTTAAGATTCAGTCCAAATTTGAATGTGGGTTGTTAAATCATTCCTCCTGCCGAGCTGCAGCCCGGCTAGTGGGAATACAAGTCTCAATTGTCAAACTGAGCACACTGCGGAACACAGCAGCCGAGACAGACACAGATTCCACCCTTCAAGCACTATTTTAGACTAAAATACAAGAGAGGGGATATCACAAATATGTATGAAGCGAAAAGCCCTCCAAAGAAAATGACATTTGTTGGGGAGCCGAAAAGGCTTTAATGTTTGACTTCTGAGTCAACAGCAAACATGTTCACTATCACTGTGCTCCCAAGAGCGGGAAACAAGCAAGACATTAACATACTCAGGGCAGAATTTAGCAGATTTGCTGAACTTGAGGCTCAGAAATTCAGTTATGTAAATATGTAAATCTTTAAAAATCCATTTGCAGATGATGTGTTGAGTGAGGCTGGATACCAGTCTGAATGAATTACAGTGCAGCAGAGCAATGAGAGCCTGGTTTGAATCTCAGGCAGGGGAACATTTCTCTTTTCATCAAAAATAAATAAGTACTATGGACTCTGGCAGCAAATAGTCAGTCAAAATATTGAAATAATCTGCTAAAGATGTGTTATGAGAGCGAATCAGAGAGCTGTCCAAATACACAGAAGTATTCATAATGCGAGGTTGAAGTGTATATTCACATACAAATGGTGTTTTATGCAGACACATTTAACTTAGTACACGTTGCAGGGTTAATCCTGTGTATGACATGTACGCTTTATTTCTTGTTCTTTTTAAAGTAAATGCAACGACTCACAGTTTACAGTACAACGGTGCTCAAGTGTTTTTGGAATAGAGGAGCCAGCGTTAATACCTGACAGGATGAGAATTTTCCACAAATATCAACTATAAGGGTATCATAATCCTTTAATGCTAAAAAATAAATAGCTATATATTTACTGTTTTAAATCTGTCATGTTGATGCAGACAGCTCATGGCAGATCCTCGCTGCTGCTGCTGCTGCTGCTGCCTGTCATTACAGATGAAATCACTGTTTTTTGTTCTATAGAGTTAAGTTTGTGTGCCATACTTTGACAATGCAAAGCTTTTGACAAGCGGTTTTCAAAAACAATGTCTCCGTGCAAGCTATATAGAGACTGTTCGCCTGTTTATTGTTGCATCTTAATCAAAGGGCGCGTACACATTTGTTGAGTATTTCGGTCTGGTTTCAGAAATGTCCTTGCCAGCATCACTGGAAGCATTTTCCTTCTGAGAAATCAGCAAGTTGAGCAGTTTTGTTCACTGACGCTGTTGGCAAAAATACCCTAGCAACTACTCCTCAACTGATCAAATTACAAATATGTCTTTTTCTGGCAGCAGTATTCAAAATTGTGGGCAGCCATTAACTTCAACTCCAAGGTTGATGGGATATCTTGAAGGCATCTGCTTTCAATGTACTCTGAATCCAGAGAACCACATTCTCTGTGGCGTTTCCTTTATTCTGTCAGTTACCTGCCATATAAGGAGCTCTTTTATAAGCAAAGTAACAAAGGAACCGCTGGAAGCCCAACATCCACAGTCACCACACGGTCTGTGTTAGTAATACAGATAACATAGTGGAGCTCGGGTTACATACCTCGGGTTTGGCATGTGAGAAGACGGTCCATTTGAGATCAGAAGTCTCCGTCTTAGTGTTCATCAGGACCTCTGTGAAAAATAAATAAAAACACATTATATCACACAGCAGGAAAAGTAAAAAGGACACGTATAAGACTCATTTGCATTCAGGGAAACACACACACAAGTGCATTTAAAATCAAAGAGTGAACATATTTCGAGTCCCGAGCTCTCCGCTAAAGTATCAGCTATGGCTTACATTGGGATTACGCTAGAAGATGGAGTTTCACCAGTCAATTACATCTACAAAAACATTCCCACTACCCTAAAATTGTCTCTCCTCTCATGTTTGTTTTCATTCCACCCACGTCCCTTGTGTTTCTCGGAGACACACCATGCCTGTGGTCACACTAAACCTGCTGAAAAGAGTCCGTCTTTGTCCAGAGGAAGTAAAGACAAGAAGTGTGAACAAGGCAGCAGACCAGACTCGGTACACACTCACAGAAATAAAAAGATTTAAGCCCTTCCAGTCACGATCTGTGATTACAATAGAATTGGTTTTCTTGTAATCTTTTTAGGGGCACGCTGCCAGCTCACAAACAATTGGAGCTATGATTCAGTATCGCAATAGAACCCCTGACTTGAACTGCATGCAACTTAGCGCAGAGTTTGGTTAAGGTGAAGACACTTATTTTCATGCGAGGACATCTCTCTCTCTCTCCCCAGCTGTGTTGGCAGATTGTCTCTGCTGAATTGTGACTAGTGTTCATGCTGATGGGGTGAGGTTTCTGCCACAGACCGGGTTTTTAGAGCCATGCGTTTTCTCCACAGAGGCTCATCTCAAGGGTGAGGCCGTTTGGTTTTACCAATAAACAGGATTTAATGCGGCTCTCCTGTGTGCCATGATCAAGGCGAGCACTTGCATGAAAATGGAAGTCTGAGGAAACGGGGGGTTTCAGGGTGAATTCATCATTGGGGTTATTAAGATGTTTTGTTGAATTAGGCTCCTCATATAAAAGCTCCACAGTAAAGTCTGGCCGCCCATAACCTCACTAACACACACTCTCAAACACAATATATGACCCAGCCACAATTTTGGTTTCTACACGTTTTCCAATAATGATTTCAGTCGTAATGCTATGGGGCCTGAACTGCTTTAAAAACAGTCATTCATTTAAATGTTTGTTTATTCACATATTTATTTTGGCATGAAGCCTGGATGAGGCCAAAGTGTTGCTTTTCTCAGCTGTTCATTATTGTTTCCACATACTCGCTTCACATGTAGCTTTGTTGTCCAAAAACATCTGCTCTAAATTCATACCCGACCAAATAAAGTCTCAGAGTCCTTTTAAACACAGATTCAGTGATTCAGTCTGCAGTTATCAATATGTGGGATCAGATACGCCTTTTGATCTCAAATCAGACTTCTTTTACTTATCTTATCTTTTAATAATGGCTACAGGTCTTCCTTTTCAGAGACAAAGTTCTTCATTATTCTTCTTCTTTGAAATGAGCAGAATGAAACAACCTCGACTGAAAATGTTTGTTTCCCCGTTGTCTGGCACTTTGGCAACCAATTTTAATTAAAAGTTTAAGAGAAGTAGTGAAATTAAACTTAATGAATTGTTTAATTCAAATTCAACAAACGCTCCTGATGTCTTCATACCATTGTGAACATATTTAGGCTTTGTGACAACCCTGAATACATAGTGTGTTCTGGGATATAGTGATGGATATTTATCAATACAATTAATAACTAAATAACCGTTAGTTGCAGCAAGGACAAGCCATTATCCAAAAACATGTAACCACATCTCCCATAGTTCAAATGTCAATTTCTAGACGTTTAGCACCAGAATCATGAACATTATATAATCGTTGAAGTTACTTTAATAGTCTGTTCAATAACTGTGACTAATAATACAGGAGAACAGGATGTCTGGAATATATTTCGTTGAGAACATTATGAAGTTCTGAAGGCTCTCTGTGCTCTATGAATATATTTGAACACCGACCTTAGTAGTATTTTACAAAAACAACAGCAACGCCTACAGTTACTAATCTCTGTGAACCTGAGTAAAGTGAGAGGCAATCACAGTCAGCACTTAGCAACCCACGTCCCATTGAAATTCACAAAAACTCTGAGTCCGACTCTTGATTTCAAAGTCAAATCAAACAACTTTGGCCAATGTTTAAGCACTTTAAACTGAAAATAAAATACACATTTGAATATTATAAGCATACAGCCTCACATTAAATCTGTTTGTTGTTCAACCGTAAAGTCGATTATACATTTTCCTTACATTTTTTATAAAACATCCTACATCTACGTCTACAGGGAAGTCCTAATTTTGCGATTAAAAACATACTGCTACTTCTTCTTCTTTAGATTACAAATATGAATACAGACTAATTGGCAGAAAAAGAACGAGTGTCCGGTGTCATCTATAAATATCTGCCTCTTTATATCCTCGTTTTCTCATAATGATTTCAATGATCACGCCCACTGCTGCTCACATAGCCCCTGTTAATTTAATATATTTCCTCAGTGAACAACCCACACACACACACTAACACACACGCACACACAATTCCTCCCTTCCTGGACCCCACTCTCACTGCCGAACAGCCCCATTATTGAAATATTTCTACTGCTCTCCTCTAGTGTCATTTTCCTCTGCCCATCATCTCAATCATGCACAGAACATGTGGCTTGACACTTCTTATTATTAGGGGTTGCATATGCAGCAGGGTTGTCATGAAATTACACAGAGAGATGTCTCTTCACTCAATTACCTATTACCCGTTTCTACTTTACAATCTACTCATTTCACGCTCTCCGTGTGCAAACTCCTCGTAAAGAAACACACACACGCATATATACCATTTCTCCCTCTTCAAAAATCCACAGGAGCCCAGCAGCTTTCCAACAACAATCTGAGGCGATACAGTGGAAGGAAGGAGAGGAGGTGGCTGAGGAGGATAATTGGATGACAAAGTTCAGGCCGGTGCTTTCCCCGCAATTTAGTCTACCTCGAGTTCACTCCCGCATAATTAAAAGAAACACCTTCATAATACGCAGGCCGCCATGTCTCCACCTATCACATGCACACCTGCCTCTGTTTCATATGCTGATTTTTTCCCCCCCGTTTTGAAGCAGTGGAAGACGGACGCCGCCACCACCCCAGGCTTGGTAATCACAGCTCTATCATTAGGGTTTATGAGGCAGGATGTGTGAGTGTTTCGATGATATGGCGAGTGTGTGCATTATGTGCGTGCACGGCCTGGCCTTCCCCTGCTGAAGGTGCAGACTTTAAGCCCTGCTGGAGGAAGCTGGCTTTTTCCCTACATTCTTACAGCAGCGGCGGCGGCGGCCACCCACCGCCGGAACATTGCCCAAAGGAACAATGAGAATTCGTCATGGGCCTTATTTAACACCCAAAACAAACAATTGTACAGTAATTACAGTACAGTTATCCACATTAGGAGACAGTGGACATGTCTGAACTGATACTGGCGCTGGCAGGAAGACTAGGACTGATCCGTGGATTTACAATTATGGAACATTTGAAACATCATTTTTTTTATAGACACTGTGTATAGACTTGTTTTACCACGGTAGAAGCACAAAAAAGGCATGTCTAACGAAGATTGAAATTAGCCTGTTTTTAAAAAAAAATTAAATAACGTAACCGTGTCAGAAACACACCGCCATGGGAAGGTATTGCGTTTTCTGTGTGAAAGGCAGACAACAATGGAGGGTTTTTCTTTGAAATGTAAAACCTGACCCTGTGTTTTTTACAAAGAGAGACTATATGACAAATATGACACCTTTATTTTCTTTAGAGCTGTCTACAGGATCGAGACAACCGACATCCAATTTGAGATCAGGACTCATTTTCAGTGAAACGCATTTTACACTTATGTGTTAATTTCCATCCCTATATGCCCCTTGTTACACTTTCTCCGTGGCTTTGGAGTGAGATAGGGAAATTACAGGCCTATGAACGTTTGCCCTGCTTCGGCTACAATTAGACCTCATTTTAATTAAAGAAAAAGAGTGCCAATTACCCTCATACACCGAGAGAAATGGAGACAGAGGGGAAGAACTGGGATAATGAAAAAGGGGGATGTGAGAAGGGAAAATATGTTAAAAGGATTTAGAAATGTATAAAAACGAGAGTGTGTTTGCCAATATTACAGCTATCTACTCAATCTCAGCTAACATGAAGCCATGATAAAAACATGGTGTGCATTTCTGTACGCTTCTATACGAAGAAACCATTTACATGAACCACATGTTCGGCTTATTTATTTCAACCTAAACAACACTGACATTGTTTTCTTATCAGTAAATTAGCCTGGTATATTTGGACGTAAAGTATTTTAATGTATTACTGAATTGATTAGCGAAGCATCTGCGTGCGTTTGTTTGGAGGTTTGGGACTTGAAGCCGCTTCATATGTCACAACGTGAGGAAACGTAATGTCCTCCAGGTAAAGCTCAGAACCTCATATGTTCTGCTTGAACATTTCCGAAGTCAATACCCTGACATTTGACATGCTTATTGGATGTTCTGATGCCTCGGGCAATTTAATACCCACATCTTATACGCCATTTTATTAAAGGAGTAGTTCAACAAGTTGGGAATCGTGCTCGTTTGCCTCATGCCAAGAGTGATGAGAATATCAATACTTCTCCCTTTTCTGTACTGTTAGCTAATTATAGCACCGAAAGACCGTTAGCTTAGGTTTGTTAGTGTCTTTATTACATGCTAAGCTAACTGCCTGCTTGTGGTAGCTTGATATTCATCACACAAACAGGATTCTCCATCTTGGGGAGAAGACAAATAAATAACTATTTCTTATACAAATCTTTCATTTTGGCCACTTTCTCAACATAGTCAGATGTTTCCAAGTGAGGCCAATATTCACACATGGCTAACTTTAGGTATCATTAATGAGGTTGTCTGTATTAACATTAGTTTGATGGATTACAGCTGCTAGAAAAGTCAGTGGTGTTTGTTCGGTTTGTTGGAGTATTCAAACACTCGTCCCTGAAGATTATCACATTAATTATATGATAGG